TTCCCCCAGCACGTGGGCACTTGCACATGCCTGGAGAGGAGGGAACCCACCTCCCACCCCCTCCCCGTAGGTGTTGGTTTGGCCGCCTCTCTCCCTGACACCAGTGTCCCTTTTGTGACACCAGCATTAGCCCTTTCTGAGTCATAGCAGAAGTTTGTCCCTTGTAGGATGGCTCCCTAGTAGAGGGGCAATCAGTGCTATGGAGTCTGGGTCTCTGCTGAGGAGTTTTATTCCCTGGTTCTCCCAGGAATCTCAGCCCAACACTTTGCCAGGGTGACAGGACACAACGCTGCTTCCAGGACTGACTCTGGTCAGAGCCTGGGCAGACAGCAACTCTCCTGCGCTTCCCCGGCCTTGTAGAGCCAACACCTGACACAAACATTTCTACCCAGGCTGACAAGTCACTCATACTCACTAGGAAGAACAGCTTGAGAGACCCTGTGTCAGAGCCCCAGCTGGGCAGAGAGAAGGTAGCTTTTACAGTCAGAATCCACTGAGCTGTGGAGATGTAAAGGGTGATACTGTATGAGGTTTAACTGGAGCTGCCTGCTGCAATTTCTCTACTGTCCAGCAGGTGTGACTGTGATGAGAGAATTGCAGCAGGCATGAAAACTGGTAGAGCAGGAGGGTGGCCCTGTCCCTCCCCTAGGCTACATTGATACTGCAAGGTTTGGGTTTTTTTGAAAAATGGACATTTTTGCACAAAAACATCTGCTGAGCATCCACACATCAAATGTTGTTTCAGGCTCTCGGCTCATTCAGGCAGGCTCTGTTACATGCAGATCACATTGCTCAGGTTTTTAGTACATCAGCACGGTGAGAGAGATTTTTCTAAAGATGGGATTTTGACCTCAGCATTGTACCAGGAACCTGGGACACAGAACAGAAGCCTAGAGAGCCTGTGACATAAACTGGCCTTGAGGCCCCTTCCAGATGTGAGGAGGTGAAATTTACTCCATAGACCAACTGTTCATGTGATGTGTGACTGGGACAAGAAGAGAGTCAATTGTGCAAGTTGTTCACTTCCCCTCACAGCCCAGAAGGACGAAGAAGTTTTTGTCTCACTTCCCCATCTGACTGTGTCACTGTGACAAGCATCGTTGTGCCACACAGCACAGTAATAGTCAGCCTCATCCTCCGCCAGGGCCCCAGAAATGGTCAAATAGCCGGTGTTGCTGGATGTGTCCTTGGAACCAGAAAACCGGGCAGGGACCCCGGAGCCCTGGTGTTTGTCAGAATCTGACTTGTATCTCAGCAGGTATCGAGGGGAATTCCCTGGTTTCTGTTGGTACCAGTACACGTTGTAGCCACTGATGCTGGTCCCACTGCTCATGGTGCAGGAGAGTTTCACGGTATTTCCTGGGGACACTGATGCTGAGGGCGGCTGAGTCACCACATTCTGGGAGCTGGAACCTGGGAAAAATGGTAAAAATCTGTCATTGAATCATAGACTCATAGAACCATAGAGCTGGAAGAGACCTCAGAAGGTCATCAAGTCCAGCCCCCGCTCAAACCCTCCTTGTCCTTCCCCAGCCACCAGTGAGTCAGTTTGTGCCTCGGGCTCCAGCAGTAACTTCAATGGGTATTTAACCTGCCCTCCCTGTGCTCACCTGTGCAGCACGTCCCCAGCAGGACAATGAGGGGAGCCCAGAGCATGGTGAGGAGATCTCAGGCACTTGGAGCCCTGCCAGACAGGGTGACTGTCCCCTCCGAGAGCTGCCTGCTGGCGTTGGGAGAGACTGGTCGCGCTGACTGTGCCGTAGAGTTCCTGGCCCTTATATCAGTCTCTGTGAGTGAGGAGCAGCTAAGCTCCTCCTTTATGCTAATCTGCTCCTATCCCATTGGGCCCTACCTTAAACAGAGAGTCATGTGAGCAGGACAGTCTTCTTTGGACGATGATCTTTTACTTTATAAGGGCTCTTTTCCAGTTCCAGTGAGGTTACTGTTAATGAATTTGCTCGGGGTTCTGCTGTGCTACCGAGACTTAACAGGCTCCAAAGGGTTAACTGCCCATGCATACACCTCAGAGCCATAGATTCCCAAGAGCTGAAGCAAGTTTGGCTTCCTCAGAACAAGGTTAAGGGAAGATGTTGTCAATACTGACCTGGAGTTCAAAATTTGCTACTGGGTTCTTCACTGGGGCAGAGAAAGAACACAGAGGAATGTCTGGCAGCGCTTGCATATACCCATCTAACTGCCCTGGGTAGCCTGTTCCCAGCTTAGCTTTAGACCTACCCACAGGTTCCCAGACAAGAAGAGACCCCAATGTGATCATCCAGCTTGGCCTCCATGTAACACAGACACGAAAATACTTGAAAGACATTCTTTGTTTGAACCAGCACGTCTCCTAACAACCACCCCTCTGAAATTAAATGGTGCCTGAGATGGAGAATCCATCACAACCCACAGTAAATTGTATCCTCGCTGTCCCATAACTCTCATGTTAAATATTCACACCGTAGTTCCAGTCTGAATTTTTCTAGTTTCAACTTCAAGCCATTGTATGCAGCCAGCATCTAGCATTTCACATGTACCTGATGAACCCAATTGTTTTGTGTTAGCCAACAACTGCATATAGCTGGAAAAGTTCAGCAGACAAGGGGTGTGGATCCAGTCTTCCCTGTAATTTTTCTCATCCTCAGCAGAGTGAATTTTCTTATGTGCACTAGTGTGGATGTGATATGCAACATGTAATAAAGTGTGACACAGTGGTGATATGCAATACAGAGAGATGTGCAACAGCCAGTGATGTGCAACATAAAGGTGATGAGGAACATGGAGTGATGTGCGACACAGACGTGATTTGTGACATGGAGTGATGTGCGACACAGAGGTGATTTGCGACATGGAGCTCACATGTCGGGCTTACTGGGAAGCTGCATGTCTGATGGGAGGGAATGTAGAGTGGCCCCCATTGTCCTGTCACTGCATCGGTCACATGGGACTTGTTTTCCTTCACCCTTGTTTCCAGGGTCCCTGATGTCCCAGCCGTAGAGCTGCAGTGCACACTCTGCCATCACAGTCCAATGCCTTCACCCTCCTGGCACCATGACAAACACCCATCCTGTCCCTTGTATCCCTGGCAGCCTGGCAGGCTCCGTGCATGCAGAGCAAACAGCCGGTCCCAGCAGATTCATTCACTAATCCGCTCTGTTTGAACTTCTCCCAGATCCATGGGAATTTCTGCTTGTGCCGTGGGCTTGGCTGTTCACAGGCTTTGGTCCCTGTTCATAAGGAAATGGCTGTGCCCAGTGTAGAGCTACAATGCTCCTAGAAACAGGGCCCCGTGAGAGCAACTGGACTGAGGAGCTGCACTGACTGGCACTGGCGGGGCTGGTTACTATTCCCATTGCAGTGCCAGTGCCCAGCACCCAGCATGGGCCAGCTGGTGACACCGAGTACCCTAGAGACACCAGCCGATCCCCTCCTCCTGTGCTGGGGGACCCAGCGATACACTGTCACACACTGTGGAGAGGGAACGGCTCAGACACTGACTGACGGTGTCAAGGTTTGTCTCCAGCACTTCATTCAGGTGACTGGCAATTCATCTGGGTATCAGAGAAGCAGGGGCCGGGCTGCTGCCCTGACGCTTGTGGGACCATTGGCTGCACCCTGCGCTTTACTGCACCAGCTGAGCAGTGTGGAGCTGACACCTCTCCCAGCACAGGGTTTGTGCCTGTCCCTTGCTGAGAGACACTGGGATTGCCTGTGTGGGGCAGGCAAAGGGAGAGAAAGGGGCAGAGCTCTGGGCTGAGGGGATAAAATCACTGCCCAGCTGCCTTTGGTGGCTCAGGAGATGCCACGTGGGTAACAGGACAAATTGCAACCCTACAAGAGTGAAGCTTTTGGTGTTCATGTTACTAGTGTCCCAAACTCCCTGGGGTACTGAATGGGGCGTGAGTGGCCTCCTCCCTCTGGGAATCTCCAGAGACAGGGCAGTTTAGAAAACAGTGCTTGCACACCTAGGGACTGGGGGAATTTAGCGAGTGGTCATAGGTGCCACTCTATTCTTACAGTAGAATGTAATTCCTTGCAAGGAAGCACGTGTCCCATACCCTCTTTGGGCAGGTGTCCCTGCTATTTAGCACCACAGACCTGACTGCCATGGATACACCCTTTAAACTGAGCTCTGCCCACACACCCCTAGGGTAAAGTGGGGTAAAGATAAAGTCTGGGTGAAGAGAGGGGCCTTGCTCTGTGACTCATGGTCTGCAGGACCAACCACAGCCAGAGCAGCAAATACCAACACTAGAGATTTCCCACAGAAAACACTCTGCCCTCTGTCCGTAGGCTCAGGACTGCATAACACAGTGAATCTGCTCACCCCAGCAGCCACATCTGTGCACAGACAGAGAGGAACTTCCATGGGGATTCAGGACCAAACATGGGTTTTAAAGCACATGTTTAGTGAACATGGGAATTGTGAAGTTTTCCAAGCAGGGCCAGGGAGTTAGCCAGCCAGCCAGTCACTGTAGTGGTGCTGCTGAGAATCTGCAATCCTCTGCAATGGTTGTAGGGAGTCCAGTTACATTCACTAATGCGCACACCGTGGGGCTTGAGAGAATTGGCAGAAATTGCAGAGCAGGAGAGTAGGAGAAACCAACATTCCAGCTATTGATAACTTTGCTTCCTGCCCAGACATAAAGAGCACAAAGGAGAATGAAGGGACCTAATCTTGTAAATACAACACCGTTATTTATATACACTGCCTAGTGACATCTTTGAATGACACCTGCCTTCTCCATCTGAGTGTATTTTTCTGTTGTGTTTCAGAGTTCAGGGGCCATTGTGACGAATGGGACAGTTAACACTTTCTTCGGGAGGCTTTTTGAAGACTGTTTCTCACAGTCACAGGAAACATTGTACACACAGTTTTTTTCTGAACCCTGAGGAAGGGCTAGAGAATGTACATGGAGCACATTACAAATCAGAATGTGCACAGACAGGTTTAATCAGGAGAAAAATACTGGGGTGATGTTCCAGCCCAGTTCAGCGATCTTTGAACCCTGGTAAGGACAGAACCCAGCAGAGTATAAGCCACAGGAGTGAAGGGGAAGATTTTTTCTTACTTCCTCTGATGCACCACAGAGCACAGTGACAGCATCCTCACCTTGGGGACCCCACAGATAGATAAGGATATGATGTTACTGGGTATCTCCTGGTTAATCAGGAGAAAAATACTGGGGTGATGTTCCAGCCCAGTTCAGCGATCTTTGAACCCTGGTAAGGACAGAACCCAGCAGAGTATAAGCCACAGGAGTGAAGGGGAAGATTTTTTCTTACTTCCTCTGATGCACCACAGAGCACAGTGACAGCATCCTCACCTTGGGGACCCCACAGATAGATAAGGATATGATGTTACTGGGTATCTCCTGGTACCCACAGGCAGAAGCAGGAACTCCAGCTGTGCCCTGTTTTTCCTTAGAATCTGAGAGGAAACTACTGTACCCTGGAGAACCCCCGAGATCCTGCTGGGAATAGTGTTAACTGTAGTCTTTGAAACTGGTCCCATTGTTCACTGTGCAGGTGGGTTTTTCAGTGTTTCCAGGAGAGTCAGGCAGTGAAGACATCTGAGCTCTGTCTGAAATGTCAGATGTGCTCTAGAAGCACTGTCATGCTCATTATTCATAATTCCCAACAAAGCATCACATACGGAATGCAGAGTCACTCAGGAAAAGTATGCAGACCAGTCATAAACTTTTACATTGCATGAGAGTTGTACTGGCAAAGAAATCTGTTCTCTGTATTTTCCCTGGGAACATGGGTATACGAAAACGTTGCATGACCAAGTTGCTGTGAATTCTGCCATTCTAGGCACCATTTACAGAGTCTTTGTCTTGAAGGGTTTCTGGGAGATGAAATGTGCAGGCCCCTCCCCATCTCTGAAAAGTTAGCTCACCCTCCCTCACAAGAGGACTCTCAGGCTGCACAACTGACCACACCCCTTATTTCATGGTGCCGAGCATCCACCTGCCTGCCTCTGGGGTAACAAACCAGCTGAGATTTGTTGTTGTGACCCCAATCCATGACCGCGATGAGGTTTGCTCCCATGTCATGTCAGTGCCAAAAGTCCTGTGGGAACAGAGAGTCTGGAAACCAGCATAATTCAGGTTCAAATGTTATTCCGGGACAGGCTGATGCTGATCCATAATTATTAAAGAATCCAACCCTGTGCCACTACCTGGCCCATGGGCGGGTCTGACACTACAAATCTCACGATCCTGTTTACCCCTCTTTGCTGGAAATGGCCAACAGGGGAGGGAGCACTTGGTGACTTCCTGTTCTGTTCACCCCCTCTGGGGCACCTGGCACTGGCCACTGTTGGCAGGCAGGGCACTGGGTTGGATGGACCTTTGGTCTGACCCCATGTGGCTGTTCTTATGGTCTCTTGGCAAGATCCCAGGGGCCCTGAATAGGGACATCTCATGAGGGTGTAATTGGAGCCGTAGCTCCCCCTGCACATGCTGAGACTGGAGGGCATGGAGACCTGAGTTCCCTTTAGGTGTCCGCCTCTCTGGCACGCAGAAGAATTTCAAAACCACCCACTGTCCCAGCAGGGCCCATGAGGACTGGCTGTATATTTTATTTTAATGAAGGCTAAGATTAAGATCTCAGTCCCAAGAGTCAGGACCCTGGGCCTAGGCATATAGATGGTTCCTGTCTCTTAATTTGGCTCTAATCTCATTACTGACTGTAAGGAGCTGCTATGTGCTGTGAAGAGCAAATATTAGTGTGAGCTCTGCTGTAGGCAGAGACCAAAACTAGCAGCCTGTGCAGGCCCCACGCTGGTGGGAGGAAAGACAAAGAAGGTTTTTGTTTCACTTCCCCACTGACTGTGTCACTGTGACAAGCATTGCTGTGCCACATAGCACAGTAATAGTCAGCCTCATCCTCTGCCAGGGCCCCAGTGATGGTCAAATAGCCGGTGTTGCTGGACATGTCTTTGGAACCAGAGAAGCGAGCAGGAACCCCGGAGCCCTGGTTCTTGCTGGACTCTGAAGAATAATAGAGCAGGTATCGTGGGGAATTCCCCGGTTTCTGTTGGTACCAATACAAATAGTAGTCACTGATGCTGGTCCCACTGCTCATGGTGCAGGAGAGTTTCATGGTGTTTCCTGGGGACACTGATGCTGAGGGCGGCTGAGTCAGCACAAGCTGCGAGCTGGAACCTGGGAAAATAAAGACAAAAGTTGTGAAGTCCCCTCAGACCATTGTGGCTGCTAGCAGCACCGTTTCTGCATGGAGTCCAGCAACAAGCTCAAGGTTTTCCCGTCCTCACCTGTGCAGCACGTCCCCAGCAGGACAATGAGGGAAGCCCAGAGCATGGTGAGGAGATCTGAGGCCCCTGGGAGCAAAACCCACAAAACGCGCTGAGATCGCCTGACAATATCTGCCCCTTATATTGGTCCTTCCGGGGGAGGCAAATTCAAGCTCCACCCTTACGCAAATCTGCTGCTGTCTCTTTGGGCCTCCTGACCACAGGGAAAGTGCCGAGTGTGAAGGGGTGGGGCCCTCTGGTGCGGATCGTTAGACATGTAGGTGAGCAGTCACTAAATGGGGCAGTTGCAATGGCCACGATGATGTTTGCTCCCATGTCATGTCGATGCCAAAATTCCCGTGGGAACAGAGAACCTGAAAGCAGCATAATTCAGATGCAAATGTCATTCCGGGAAAGGCTACCCTCTCCCAGGAGGTTTCTGTACAGTTGCCCCTTTGTGCAATACCAGCGGCACTTTTCATACACCCCTTTGCTGTGCGGTGGCAGACGTTAAGGCCATGTGGGTTGGTTCCCCCAGAGAGGTGCAGCTAGTTATGTGAAGTCCGGGTGTGTGCCCAGTGTAACTAGCTTATTCATATCCCTACCAGGCAAATGTCTTTCTGGGACAGGTCGATGCTGCCCTGTGAATATTAAAGCAACCAGCTCTGTGCCATTAGCTGGCCCAGGGGCAGGTCTTACACTACAAATCTCAGGATCCACCTTACTACTCTTTGCTGGAAATGGCCAACGGGAGGGATCTGTTCTGTTCACTCCCTCTGGGGCAACTGGCAGTGGCCACTGTTGGCAGAGGACACTGGGCTGGATGGATCTTTGGTCTGACCCTGTGTGGCTGTTCTTATGCTCTCATGAAAAGATCCCAGGGGCCCTGAGTAGGGACGTCTCATGAGGGTGTAATTGGAGCCGTAGCTCCCCCTGCACATGCTGAGACTGGAGGGGATGGAGACCTGAGTTCCCTTTAGGTGCCTGCCTGCCTGAGTGCATGCAGAGAATTTCAAACTTGCCCACTGCCCCAGCAGAGCTGCAGGGCAGCATTCACCTTCCCGGAGGGCAGGCTGCTGCTCCGCTGGAGAGTGGGGCCCACAGGTGCATGGTGGCTGCTCAGCTGCTCCCAGGGTGGGGCCACGTGGTGGGCAGCTGCCCTGTGTGCTGGGGCTGGAGCCACCATGGGACTCCACCCTGGGGGCAGCTGGGCAGCCATGATGTGGCCCTGGGCCCCGCTTCCCAGGCCAGGCCATAGGGAAGCTGCTGGAGCTGGAGCCAGTGACACGGTACTACAAAGAGCAGTGTTATGGCGAGTATTTAAGAAGGGCCGGATGGATGTGATTGCACCATTTTTTTCTGGCAGCCCTAATACAGCGCCATTTGTCATTCATTGGGCTGTGAGTGTCCGTGGGTGAGAGCTTGAGGGTCTAGTCCCAGGTGTGTTTCAACACCTGGCTGTGACTATGTGTCATCCACTTCCCTGGCCCACCACCTATGCCCAGCAGCCTCACAGTGAGTCCCTGCAGTGGGTGGCTTTCATCCACTGATATTACCCTCCTTGCCATGATCTCCTCCCTGATGCTCCAGAGTACAGGCAGCATTGCTCCCAGCCCTGTTCAGCGTTCCCCTCTTCCCCTGAGGATGTTTTGTTCCATGTTAACTGGGTTGATTAAGTTCTTGGCTTATTCACATTGGGCAAAAATCAGGCACCTGTTCAGGCAACTGCAGTCTCCAAAACTAGCAGCCCCAGGCTGGTGGAAGGGAAGACAAAGAAGGTTTTTGTCTCACTTCCCCATCTGACTGTGTCACTGTGACAAGCACTGTTGTGCCACACAGCACAGTAATAGTCAGCCTCATCCTCCGCCAGGGCCCCAGAAATGGTCAAATAGCAGGTGTTGCTGGACGTGTCTTTGGAACCAGAAAACCGGGCAGGGACCCCGGAGCCCTGGTGTTTGTCAGAATCTGACTTGTATCTCAGCAGGTATCGTGGGGAATTCCCCGGTTTCTGTTGGAACCACCTCACATTGTAGCCACTGATGCTGGTCCCACTGCTCATGGTGCAGGAGAGTTTCACGGTGTTTCCTGGGGACACTGATGCTGAGGGCGGCTGAGTCACCACATTCTGGGAGCTGGAACCTGAAGGTTGTGAAGTCCCCTCAGACCATTGTGGCTGCTAGCAGCACCGTTTCTGCATGGAGTCCAGCAACAAGCTCAAGGTTTTCCCATCTTACCTGTGCAGCACGTCCCCAGCAGGACAATGAGGGGAGCCCAGAGCATGGTGAGGAGATCTCAGGCACTTGGAGCCCTGCCAGACAGGGTGACTGTCCCCTCCGAGAGCTGCCTGCTGGCGTTGGGAGAGACTGGTCACGCTGACTGTGCCGGGGAGTTCCTGGCCCTTATATCAGTCTTCATGAGTGAGGAGCAGCTAAGCTCCTCCTTTATGCTAATCTGCTCCTATCCTATTTGGCCCTAGCCAAATCATGTGAATGGGACAGCCTGCATTGTGTGATGGCCTTCTAATTTATAAGGGCTTTTTTTCAGTTCCAGTGAAGCTGATGCTTGTGTTTCTGCTCTTCTTCAGAGACTTAACCTGCTTCAAAGGGTTAACTGCCCATGGACACACCTCACAGCCATAGACTTTAAGAGCCGAGGCTATCCTGGGCAGGGTTTTATAGACAATTCAGCTTGGGGGTGGCATGAGCTCAGCTGTGCAGATGGGGAAGGGAAATCACAATGCGTTTTTGTGACTAACACCTCACAGCACCCCATAGTTCTTGTGCATGGGACAGACACTCAGTAATGGCATTAACTGCACCCGGCTGGTGACGTGTCATGTGGAACCGCAGCGGATCCCTGGCAGTAAAGCAGCAGCCTGCAGCCCAGCGCTGCACAAAGAGGCTTGAGGAACTGATTGTAATGCTCTTAATAATGTTTGATCTCCCTTCCCGCAGTGTCTACTCCTGGGATAGGAGCCTGGCAGGTGCCCACTCAAAGCAGCACTGAGTCTGCCTCTGCAGGAAGAGGCAGCGCAGTGGACAACTCTGTCTCAGTAATGACTCTTGGTGGGGCATCATTCTTTGCTGGGCCTAGTTCGGGCTGGTAGTGGCTGGCCAGCATGATCCAGATCTAGGCAGGGACTTGAGCCCAAGTGCTGACCAGGCAAGCTCCATGTTTTCAGAATTCTCTGCCAGGAGTTGCCGGCAATCCCAGTCTGCTGCGGGTGGCTGCTCCCCCTTGGAAACTCGGACTGTATGTCAGCCTGTGTGCACTGGGGCACAGAGAGCCCAGCAGGCTGGGGAGTACACCATGCCCCGGCCATCCCACTGATGCTGATGGGCTCAGCCGGGGGCATAAGGATGGAGCTGTGTGCGGGGAACAATTGCACATGCTTCATGCCAGCCCTGGGCCTGAGCCTGCTTACTTGATCACAGTTCCTTTTAATCTCTGAGCTAACCCCTTGGAGACAGAGGATCTTTGGGAGGGGATAACACAGGTCCATGAAGTCTCAGATTCCCCGTTGAGGTGCGTGTGAGGGGGTAATGTCCCAGAGCCGGGATGTGACTAACGAGCTGCGGTTTGTGCAGCACTTGGGGGACATACAGTTCCATTGCACTGCTGGGGCAGAGATACAGGGGAGCACACGTCAGTAACTGGCACAGTTCAGGGAGAGGGAGGGAGGAGGTAACAATGTTGCTGTCACACTGTTAGTCAGCGGCATGGGCCCAGCGTCCCTTCCCTCACATTCCCCTGCAGAGAAGCTCTGCTAATATAATCATAGAATACTGGGACTGGAAGGGACCTCCAGAGGTCATCCAGATGAGCTGGGAGGGGCTGATTGGATTGGAGGCTTTGAGCCAGGCCACCTGCTTTGAGTCAGCAGCCTTATAACAAAGGTAGCCAGAGCAACCTGAGTGAGCAGACAACAGAGGGAGTTTGCCCGGGAGTTCACCTCAGGGAGCCCCACAGAAGTTCTGTTTTTTTCTTTCTTTTGTTCTCTTCTTTTTCTCTCTCTCTTCACACCTTTATGATTCCGGGCACAATAAATACAGCATCTGAGGAGTCTCTCAGAAGGAAGACAGTGTGGATAGTGATAGAAATGTAGCCGTGTTAGTCTGGGGTAGCTGAAGCAAAATGCAGGACAATGTAGCACTTTAAAGACTAACAAGATGGTTTATTAGATGATGAGCTTTCGTGGGCCAGACCCACTTCCTCAGATCAAATAGTGGAAGAAAATAGTCACAACCATATATACCAAAGGATACAATTAAAAAAATGAACACATATGAAAAGGACAAATCACATTTCAGAACAGGAGGAGGATGCAGGGGGGTGGGGGAAAGGAAGGAAGGTAAGTGTCTGTGAATTGATGATATTAGAGGTGGGGAGAGTGGGATGTCTGTGAGCTAATGGTATTAGAGGTGATAATTGGGGAAGCTATCTTGGTAATGTGTAAGATAGTTTAAGTGTTTGTTCATTCCTTCCCGGAGAGTGTCGAATTTTAACATGAATGACAGTTCTTTACTTGTATAATTCTTTTGGGAAACAATGAAACTAAGAAAAAAAGTCACAGAAAATGATTTATTCCATGAAAAGAGCCTCTTTATCCCTGAGCAGGAAGATTTGCAAGAGAAAATCTGAACCATATTTTTGGATTTGTTAATCAAAGGGCTGATGGGAAATGTGCGTCGGGAGCTGTTTTATGCAGATGTGATGGGTCAAACAAGTCATATGGGATTGTTTCTGTCTTCTGGCTGGATGATTTCATGCATGCTTATGGATTTCACCTGAATGTGTGTGCATCGCAGTTTCCTTTTAACCCAGGTTTGAGTGAATCTGAAATACTGAATGTTCAGGCAGAGGGAATGCAAAAGAGACACGGGCATTGCCAAAGTGTATCCATGCATGAATCCAAACTAATAACAGTATTGAAAATGTTTTTTCATTATTTGCCCTGCTAGACGCAGTGGAGATGCATGGCTCCATTGATTTGTGTGGAGCCAGTCACGTTTACACCAGCTGAGAATCTGGCCCACAGTAAGTAGATTTCCTCCCTGACATCCGCTCTACGTGTTTGTGTGTCTGTGTGTAAAGTAGAGGCATGGGCCTCAACGAGTCCTCTGCTGTCATGTATGCATTGCAGGTTTCTCTTTCTAGATATCCCACTAGGAGGGTTTTTTTGGTTTTTTTTTTTTTGGCAGGACTTGCCCTTTTCTGCCTCCAAATCAAGACCTTCTTGGCTCCTATGAACATTCATCAACTGTGTATTTGAGAATTTGTCTGTCTGTCTCTCTGTCTCTCTGTCTGTCAAGCCAGGACCACCAACTTCCGTATGCAACTTCCTTTTCTCAGAACTTAAAGCTATGTAGGAGTTTGGTTGTGCCAGGAAAAAGGGATGTGCCTGGAATACAAGGGGCTGTATGGGACTGCCTCCCCACCCCTCCAAATTCAGGACTTCCCCAGCCTCAACCCTCCCACCAGGGTGCCCTTTGCGGAGAAGGGGAGGATTGAAGTTAGATTTGTACAGGGACATTACTGGCTTTTCCCCTTCATCAGGGAGTGAGGGGAAAGTTCACAGTTTGCTGCATTCCCCACTCTGGCTGAGGAGCTCAGGGGGCAGACAAGCTTTGCTCTAGCTCCCTGACAGGGACAGGAAGAGGAAGTGGAAGCAGTTCTAGTATGAATCTCAGGGGGGGAAGGCGCTTCAGCCCCCACCCTTTCACCACATGCCCCTACACACACACAGTCCCCTGCCCAGAGCCCTTCCTTGCCCCAACGCTATGACTCTTGCATTCCCGACTCTCCCAGCCTCCTGCCCGGAGACCCTCCTGAAGGACCCGCCTGGTAAATGTGCCAGTCTTGTTTGTAATCATCCACTTTAGCAAACCAATATTCCAACAGTGGGTCAGATCCGTGCTTGAGATACTCAATTCGGTCTCATCTACAGCAGCTTCGCTCCTATGGGCATCACCTTGCAGGTTAATTATGGCCACCATGGCTGCCGATCTGTCCAATTCAGCAATGCAATTAGTTCGGTTTCAGTGGTCTGAAAACCCCAGGACAGCAGAATACATTATTTATTTGGGAAACAAGGCCTGGATTCAGGTGTTAACCCGGAGCTGTTAAAGTCTCTACCTGGCACCTACGCCACTGGCTGTCGTGGGCGGTCAGTCTCACGAGAGCGCATGCTGTTGTGCTGTAACAAAATTCAGGTAGTGAAAGTTTTCCAGCCGGCAGTAATAATAGCAGGAGAAAGCCAGGCTCG